AACAAAACTGTAAACACTGTTACACATCATTCACACTGTAACAAAACTGTAAACACTGTTACACATGATTCACACTGTAACAAAACTGTAAACACTGTTACACATCGTTTACACTGTAACAAAACTGTAAACACTGTTACATATCATTCACACTGTAACAAAACTGTAAACACTGTTACACATCGTTTACACTGCAAAAGAAAACTGTAAACACTACTATGCCAAACTTTAGCTCACGATCTAGAAAACCGATCATTGCTGTCTAATGTCAGTTATCTTACAGTTCACCAGGACCAGGATTGGACACCCCTGGTCTACAATCTGCAGGACAATGGTTCTCCAGGACCAGGTTCAGAACATGGTCACACTGGAAGGTTCTGAGCACCTTATGCTTTCTAAAGACTGTACAGCTTCAGCAGGATGAAAAATAAGGTGATGTTTTAATAAAAGCTGATGCATTTTTTATTGGTTCTGCCACAGATGTGACATTTCACCTAAATTAGTAACAACTTGAGAAGCACAGAAACATGTGGTGCTATACAGGGGTTAGAAAATTAAAATGATACAGCTGTCATTTTAGTGTGGGAGGTTTCATGGCTAAATTGGACCAGCCTGGTGGCCAATCTTCATTAATTGCACATTGCACCAGTAAAAGCAGAGTGTGAAGGATCAATTAGCAGGGTAAGAGCACAGTTTTGCACAAAATATTGCAATGCACACAACATTATGGGCGACATACCAGAGTTCAAAAGAGAACAAATTGTTGGTGCACGTCTTGCTGGCGCATCTGTGACCAAGACAGCAAGTCTTTGTGATGTATCAAGAGCCACAGTATCCAGGGTAATGTCAGCATACCACCAAGAAGGACCAACCACATCCAACAGGATTAACTGTGGGCGCAAGAGGAAGCTGTCTGAAAGGGATGTTTTGGTCTAAAACCAGGTGTTTCAGTTTCATTGTCTAACCCCTGTAGCTCTAAATCTGTCTGACTGCTGAAACTGTCCAATTTCTGCAGGAAATATACATTGGGCCAAGCTTATAGAAGACTTGTCAATTGATTGTTTACCAATTAACGACTGAGCGTTCCTTGAAGGTACATGTAGTCAATGCTTTTAAACTAATATCATCTTGTGAAGAGGACATGGTCAAACCTGATGTTATGATCTTGTGTATAACCTCATGCAGGATCTTATGAGATGTTTGCTCTCATAAGGACCTGTTGATGGTGATGCACAGCTACTACTGCACCTAATTATGACCCCCACACGCGAAAGCGTAAGCAGGATTCATATTGTTTTCGTACTGTTTTTTTTTTTCAGTGATTTTGGTCAACTGTAGCTCAAAAACTGTTTAACATAGGAGCTTCAGAGTTTCATTGTTTGTTTAGCTCTGATGAGGGGCTTTCCATCAGGTCAACCAATGCCACCCCCC